CCACGGCCGTCCAGGTACAATCCTGGGTCTGGTCAAGTTGGATTTGTGGTGGACAAAGTGACTCTGTGGCGGGTTTTTTTCCAAGTACTTCGGTTTCCCCTGCCAGTGTTCATTCCACCAAATTCTCCATCATCATAATTACCTGGGGCAGGCTACAATAGGCCAATCAGTGGCCGCTGTGCCGAGTGGACCCAGTTGGACTCCACCCCCCACTAAGCGAATACTTTTTGGGAAACTGTTATACTCAGTTCTATGTCTAATGATATGACATATTTTATGTGTTTGGTGGAGGAACCAACATCATAGTTGGCTTTTGATGAGTGTTAATGGTGATTGCAGTTTCACTAAACCCCAGTTTCCAGCATGGTTTTGATACTGCCAACCATGGCTTTACCAGTAGATACTATAGGGTTCTGACTATGGTGTATAACACACAGAGATACTGGGTTTTCGGACTTTGTCCATCGTCCGTGATTGAAGCTAACTCTTTCTAAGGGACCCAACAGAGTAGGTCTCTCTCTATTGAAGTGTAGTGTGGGTGTTAATTTTTTTTAATTCGCTTAGTGTGCGGTGGAGTCCAACTGGGTCCACTCGGCACTGCGGCCACTGATTGGCCTATTGTAGCCTGCTCCGGTCGATTATGATGATGGAGAATCTGGTGGAATGAAGATTGGCAGTGGAAACCGAAGTACTCGGAGAAAACCCGCCACAGAGCCACTTTGTCCACCACAAATCCCACTTGACCAGATCCTGGATCGAACCCGGGCCGCCGCGGTTGGAAGCCAGCGACTAACCGCTTGAGCTAGCGTGGCCTGATGTGGGTGTTGCAAGCAATAATATTGTTGGTACTATATTATTAGTCTTCAATTCTTCAAACCGAATTTCGTCTGTTTCTGCTGTAACTCTTCTTCTACACTCGCCGTAGATGTCGTGGACACGGCTGAAATTGTTGACACCACTTATAGCAGTCCTTGTACGCTGTGTAGTAGCCCCACGTTGAGGTAATCTTGTCGTGTGTTACTTATGTAACGCGACAAATGACTTCACGCAGGTCTCGGATTAAGCGAATTTGTATTGGATTCTCGCTTCTACACGCTCAAGTACAAGTATGATCACGTTCAGCATCACAATTCTCCTTGCACCGTTAATCTTGGTGAAGTGTCTGTTGATCTGCCTGGCGACTGCTAGTACTACACTCTCAACCGCTCTCAACTGTCTTGATTCAACCATCTCGCTGGTCAAAAGTCAGTCACATTGAGACTGACTGTCAGTTGGACTTGTACTTGGAGACGACGAGCCCCGTGTGGAGGCGGGGTCGAATACCTCCACCGTGACCCTGCGAGTCGTAGGAGGCGACGAAAAGAGAAGTCTCAAATCTGAGATAGTAAAATATGGTCGAGAATCCAAAGGGACTCGGACGCGAAAAAGACTGCGCTGGCAAGGGCCAGCAGCATATACAAAATACAGACCCATCCTCTCGTCAGAGAGGGCGCCCCACGAAAACAAGACTGTAACTGTCAAACAGCAATAAATATGAAGAAAGCAGTCTTCTGGGATCTTACATAGCAATAAATATCGATCATGAGCCCCAGAAGGGGATAGACACAAAGAATTACTGACTGACTGACCGTCAGTCTCAATGTGACTTTGACTTTTGACCAGCGAGATGGTTGAATCAAGACAGTTAAGAGCGGTTGAGAGTGTAGTACTAGCAGTCGCCGAGCAGATCAACAGACACTTCACCAAGATTAACGGTGCAAGGAGAATTGTGATACTGAACGTGATCATACTTGTACTTGAGCGTGTAGAAGCGAGAGTCCAATACAAATTCGCTAAATCCGAGACCTGCGTGAAGTCATTTGTCGCGTTACATAGGCAACGGGGCTCATCGCCTCAGAGTTAGAGTCAGAGTTACTCTACGACTGGCGGTTTACCCCCAATCAGTTCGTCTTGGCGTCAGACCCCTTGAGGATCACGACCAGAATTTTTTTTCCAACTGAACTCTTGCGGTAATAGTCCTTATGTAACATCCTCTCTGACGAGAAGATGCGTCTGTCTCTTATGAATACATTCGACCTTTCGTCAAGTGTATGTTTCGCACATATAATATGTTATCGAAAATTCTTCCTTTTGCACTACACACAAGTCCTCTGTCAGTACAGGCTTTATAGAGCAGATCATGCCTAACTTACAGATCTTATGCTACAACGCAAACTTAGTCACTTGAACGGTCATAAGCTTGACCACCGCCAAGTTTAAGCATCTTATGTTTTCTGTGTCCAAGTCCAAGTCACATTGCGACTGACGGTCTGCCAGTCAGTAAGTCTTGGTGTCGAGCCCCGGCTGGGTTTTTTTTTTGTCTGTGTCCCTTCGAAGCTGGACTTTTATAACCTTGTTTCGGACGCAATAGGGAGCACCTCCCAGGGTTCGATTTCACGTGTTCTATGCTCGTTACCACGGAAATACATTATTCCCGCTGCTTCAACAATTGGTTGCCACGGCTATTCCTACGCAACGGTCTGTTGATATTCCATTTGCCGCTGTGGGAATTCAGCAAATTCCATATATTCGCTGTATGTATTCCCATTGTGTTCGTTGAGCAGCGAAGGACGTAATATAACACGTCACAGTATTATAGAACAGATCAACAAGTGCTTGTCTCTACATATAAAGACACCCCACTTTGGTGACCCCGACAATACAACACGAATAATGCACAGCGGTCGAACTGAAGACCTGCAGCAGTACGTAACACAGATACAGAATTTACAAGACGATTTACGTACCAGTCGCGAACAGCAACACCAAAAAGAGGCAAACCAACACGACGACGATATTACGAACGGCCCGCTACCAACAGAGATACCAAGAATCATCGTGCGGCTTCCGCCGTCCTGGCCCGAGATAACAGTTTGGTTCCCTCACGCCGAAGCACAGTTCACTTTGGCCCGCAACAGCAGCGAGCAGACCGAGTTCTGCTACGTGATACCGCAGTTGGACTGTAGGGACTACAGGGATCCTCGCCCCAGCTCCAGGAACTGCCGCTCGGGCAGCAGATTCCCTTCCCGAGATGACGTTACACCCACCCTCTGCTGGTACCATCGCCGGCACGGAGGCCAGGCACAACAGAGTCATCTGAGAACCCCGGATTACCTTCCTTGGTTACAAAGCCTAAGGATAAAGGTGATATTCCTCTGAAACATCACTTGATTTTTTAGTGGACTAAGTGCTGTGAGAATTTCAAATCCTACAATATTAAAATGGATCTAAAAAAAATACAGGATGGGATGGTGTGGACTGGATTCATCTGGCTCAGGGTAGGGACTAGCAGTGGGCTCTTGTGAACATGGTAATGAACTGGACTTGCTCAAACTTATCTTCTCCTCTTGTCCAAATAATGCCTTATTTAATTGTTCTGTATATTCTTTCTACTACTTATGACCCATATATATATATATATAATTATTACTGTGTCCATATTTCATTAGATGCAACATGCAACAATGTTAAGGTACCATCAGGGAATAGTCAGAAGCAGTAAACAAGTTAGTGCACTAACGATCACTCCATTGGTCGGAACAGACAACCCTGAGAGACAAACCCAATGTAGCAGAATGCCTTTTGAGAAGCTGTAGTCATTCAGCTAGTCAAAGAATTCATTGCCTTTTATGGAACTCAAAAGATTCATTATTGTGTTCATGAGAGCTTGCCACTGGGCTCTTTCCTGAGACAAATGAATCCAGTTCATACTCTCATACCCTATTTCTAAGAGCCATTTTAATTTTATTCACCTATCGATGCCCAGTTCTCCCAAGTAGTGTCATCCCTTCAGGTCTTCCAATAAATTGTGTGCATTTTTCATTCCTCACATGCTTGCTGACCCCCCTCCCGCATCTCATCCACTATGATCTCATCATATCTCCTCATATGGACATCTTCTCAAGCCTCCAGTTATTTTTTCTTAGGTACACATATTCAATCTTTGTTATTCTCTTAGGATAAAAGATGAAGTTTCACACCCATGCAAAATAACGGGTAAAATGAAAGCTCTGTATATTTTAATCATTGCATTTTTTGGTATGAGAGAAGAAGAAAAAACAGTCAGTGCACAGAGATATTGAGGATTCTCCAATTTTAAGCTGACCCTAATTTCTGGGCATGTTTCCATGCCTTTCCCCAGTATTTGAATTTTGCCACAATCTTTACATTACGCGTCTGGCACACTGTTAGCCTTTCAGAACATTTGGAACATAGTTGAATGAGGGGCCGCGCCATAGTTCAAGCGGTTAGTCGCTGGCTTCCAACTGCGGCGGCCCGGGTTCGATCCCGGGTCTGATCAAGTGGGATTTGTGATGGACAAAGTGGCGCTGGGCCTGATTTTCCCCGAGTACTTGGGTTTCCCCTGCCAATCTTCTTTCCACCAAATTTTAAATCATCATAATCACTCGGGGCAGGCTACAATAGGCCGATCAGTGGCCACTGTGCCGAGTGGACCCAGTTGGACTCCACCCCCCACTAAGCGAATTAATTAATTAGTTGATTGAGTCATAATTTTTTTTCCATTGGCACTACAGCCCCAGTGGGCCTAGGCCCACCTCTGTGAACTTCATGAGCCATAATACGTTATGAATTAATAACGTTGGCAGCCGTCTGCCTGTCCTTGTAGAGCTGTGAAGGGAAGGTTGCTACAACTGTCCCGCCTGTCTCCCAATATGGAAAGTAATTCTGTTTGTTACTAGTCTGTGCTGCCATTTTTTTTTTCACAAATTGTGTTACAGGCATTGAAATATGGAATAACAAGTGTAATATCACTTTCTATACTGTATTTACTACCCGTAACACCTTAATAGTTTTGTGATAATGCGCAGTTTCTTTAACTATATCGTGCGATCTATGAGTAACACTGCAGAATGAAATGTCCCCAGTATTTGATTGTGAGTGTAGTTCTTTCTCATCTCTATCCGTAAACCGAGTATTTGTCCAAGATATGAAAAAGGGGAAACGTTATGTATATTATGCTGCAATATACTGTCGTGAACTTCGTGAAGCATTAACGTGTGACATATCTCCAGTGGTGCCATCTTTTTATACACGTATTTATGGAAACCATGTGACTGTAACTGCTAGTAATGGCCGTTTGTAACTACAGCTGGTTGTATTGTTACGTGTTACATATTCCATTATATTTTTATATTATACACTGTTAATATAGTAGATAAATATTTTACAGGTTTATTGTGTTTTATCCATGACCGAGGAGCAAACTCATCTGAGAGGTCAACTTATATCAGAAGATAAGTCACGAACGAATTCTGTTGCTTCTCTCTCTTCTTCCGGAGTGTCAGACGAAGTTTCCCTTCTTCTAGAAGTGGTGTTTGCACCGGGTTCTAATAACGGAGGCGCCATAGATTCCTCAAGAGTTAATCGTGAAAACCAGCCGCTTTTAGGGCGGATGGAATCGGTTGTTACGTTCAACAATTTCCCAGGTAAATTCTATAGAAAAAAAACTTCGTAGTTATCGTGTGTTCGTGTCAGGTGAATATGACCGATAAGGCGATAAACAAGTTTCTATGCTGTCACATGTGGTCCGTATTTACGTAGGTGTTATTTCTGTATATGTATGCCACATAAGCATATGTTAACATCTGGATGCCATTATGAAAGTGTTATACATATGCAGTGTTTCGGTATGTTAGCCTGTAAGAGTCGAGGTGAATTAGTCGGTGATCATCACTTCGATGTGTGTGAAATACGAAAATATGCAGTGTGAGTTTGATGTAATATTTGAATGTTTTACAGATGATCCTTTGTTTTCTGATCTGGTACGGCAAGCTGAAATTGCAATAGATAATGGCATTTATCCAGAGAGGATATATCAAGGGTCCAGCGGAAGTTACTTTGTTAAAAATCCTTCAGGGGTTAGTATGACTCTGTTATCTAATTTATATCACAATGCAATTTCTTTTTCTTGGGTTTGGGTCATAGATCATCCATTTGATCACTGTCAGCTGCAGATATTACATATTTCTTTGGAGTTGTTCATAGTGTCCGGTGTTTAGTATGAATATTATTTGGTGCTTTGCTCTTGAGTTATTTTACAAATTTCTGAACAGCTGCAAATTGAAACCAAATTTACTATGGAGGTATAATTTTCAGTGTCAAGAATTCCATGCCTTTCACTGCTGCTATGCAATGTGCATAAGTTATTTTACAAATTTCTGAACAGCTGCAAATTGAAACCAAATTTACTATGGAGGTATAATTTTCAGTGTCAAGAATTCCATGCCTTTCACTGCTGCTATGCAATGTGCATAAGTTATTTTACAAATTTCTGAACAGCTGCAAATTGAAACCAAATTTACTATGGAGGTATAATTTTCAGTGTCAAGAATTCCATGCCTTTCACTGCTGCTATGCAATGTGCATATGTATTTTATTTTCCAGTTATGACATTTTTAACTCTTTGCTTTGAGGATTACTTACTATCATCTGGGATATGATACTGTGTAGTATAGTAGGTGGTACAGATGTTTCGAAGGAACTTACTGTCTCCATTTTCAGGGTGTGTCTCTTCTACCCTGGAGATGGAGGCAGCAGGTTATGTATTTACCAGACTTCACAGCATCATATTCCAGAGAGTATTAGTTTTCATAATAATCCCTGTGAGTATCTAAAATCTGCCCTTTTTAGTTGTGATTAAAATAATCTATATCAATATGAAGCCATATGTTTTAATGGAGATGTCCATGTCTCAGAAAGATTAATTGTTGCTATTTAGGAATATTAGTTCAGCATCTGTGTTTAATCACTGATTAAAAATATTTTTTATCTGTGTAACTATGAAAAAAACACACACATGAAAGGCATGTTTTTAATTCTTTCAGTTTTGACTTGAAATTCAGTTTCTGTTTCCTAAAATACAAAGTACATTAGTATTGCATCCAGAGGGGTGTGGCAAATGATTCCTATGGTGCTGCAGTCTTCTGAGAAATGTAAGAAGTACATGATAAACTTGTCACACAGTGCAGAGAAACATCAGGATATAACAAACACAGAACTGTACTGAGCCAAAAAGTTTTCCAGGACCAAAACATGTCGAGGATAAAAGACTAAAAGGGAAATAAATAAAAAACATTTTATCACTCACACTGGACAGAGTTGTTTAATCTTTTATAATATTGCTAGTGTGATGGACCAGGATGCACCAAATCAAATTTCCCAGGATATAAAATTTGTTATTTTTAAATGAATGGAAAGTGTACGAGTATAACTTCTGTTCTGTTGTACTTCACTGATATTAGAAGTTGAGATTAAGTGAGGCTGAACATTGCCAAAAGGAAAATGTCAAACTTGTTCACACATAACACAGTAATTTGCCACTGACCTTTGCCAGATTGTGTAGATACTCTTCGTGATACACACAGATTGGTTATGTGTTTCACCTCTAAGTTGGTACTGTGAAATTTTGGAACACAAGGCACAACACAGTGAATAGGAATGCTGAAATCATTCTGGATAACATGATACTGAGGTCTCACAGAAGTGTCCGAATATTACTGACTTCTGAGATGTGACATGGTGTAGTCTGGCAGAATGTTACCGACGTTTTGAAGGAACCTGCTACTTCCATTTTCTGGGCAAAAGATGGTATAGGTTTCTCCAAAGCAATATTTAATTACTATATTTACTGTATGTATTTTATATTTTGTGCATTATTTTATGACACTTGTACGAAGTAGACTGTATAGTGTTCATTGTGGGATGACTGATGAATAATGGATTGGAAAGAAGTGGCCATTACCTAATCAAGGTAATATCCTAACATTTGCATAGAAGAACTGAGGAAAACCGCAGGAGACTTGAATGAGAATATTCTCTGTCTTGTCTCCTATATGTCTGACTTAATGTGTTGCATTAATTTTCTCTAATGTTTGTATGAATTCACAGAAAATCATCGGTGTATTTAAGCCAAAGGATGAAGAGCCTTACGGACGGTTAAACCCCAAGTGGACCAAATGGATGCATAAGCTGTGTTGCCCCTGTTGTTTTGGCAGGTCATGTCTCATACCGAATCAGGGCTATCTGTCAGAAGCCGGTGCAAGCGTAGTTGATCAGAAGTTGCAGCTTAAAATTGTTCCCAAAACAAAGGTACATCTGCCTTGTTCCTGGATAGTTTTATTTTGATTAGGGATAACATGAAAATTGAAGTGGACATAAGAGGCTGTATGGAAGAGACAAGTTGGAAAATGTAGGCGTATATGGGAGGATAGTACTGAAAATTGGGCATGAAGATGTTGACTGCATTCATCTTGTTAAGAAGTGGGTAATGCTATTGTAATGAATTTCGGGGTTCTGTACAATCTCAGCAACCTGTGCCACTGTTAAGGAGCTGTTTCCCTTGCAGTTAGTTGATTGGTTAGTTAATTAGTTGGATGGTTCTAATAGTAATTGTTTTCATTCTTCCTGAATTATTTGATTGTACTTTCCTGTACTATTTTATGTAATTGTCATGCTTGTTCTCGCTGTTATTACAAGAAATCCTATTTCAGCTGGCACCTGCCAGTATACATACAGCAAAGAGTTCACGTGTGTTGACAGATGTGTCATGAAACAGATGTTGCATATCAGCTGGTAGATTGTCTTGACCTTGATGCTGAAACCAAGTGTTATAGTATCGCCAAAAATGTTTTTAGAAACTAAGCCCCAGTTAGGAGTGTCTGCGTTTTGGATTGGAGAGGATAGAAAGATGTTTCATTTACTCCAGATGTCTCTGTAATTAGAGAATCTTCTGTACATGGTAGCCTTCAACCAAATTTGTGCATTGTGTATTGACACAACTTGGTAGGAGGTGCATCAGGCTCTACTGCCTGAGTCCACTGCCAAATTAGTTGCTGTATTTTGTGCATGTGTGAGTTTATGTGCAGTCTTCAGAGGAGAAATTCTGAACAAAGCAGAGGCTGTGAGATTGGAACCATAATAGCCCACCTGCATTATGATGATTATATTATCAATAGTTGCATAGTATCACTTATCACTGTATTATGGCATTATCTAACTACACATTACAGCAATTATATATAAGGAAATTGCTTGTTTTATTAAGAAAATATTAAAGCAAGAGAAAGTGACACACTTCTAAAAAGTAAAGTAAGTTGAGGAAATGGGCCACATGTAAATTAACCTGAGATAAGATAAAACACCTGTCATTTGGAGCCCACATCCTGTTGATAGCAGTTAATTATTTATTTCCAGCAGATTGCTTATCAATCTTTATGCTTTGTTTAGCCCCTGTAAACCGAAAGTTGTGTACATATTAATATTTTTTAATTCCTAGACGCTTTGCTTCATGTACTCACAGTCAGATCATAAGGTCCAATATTGAAAATATGCGGCTATGAAGAAGCCCTTCCAAATAAACATTTTTATTAAAAATAACAGTGGCTGATGACAGAGAGACTGTTGATGGTAGAGCCACCTAGCTGCAGAAACAGTGCGACCTGGAACCAGCACATGCAGTGCATTACTGGCATGCTGTGTTACCATAATCTCAAATTAGGATAGCTGATACCCTGGCTCAGATGAGAATTGGACAGCTTCTGAGTACAGCCTGGAGTGTTACCTCTAGATCAGCCTGTTTTTATGTATTTCCTGTTGTGATGTTATTGATATTAGAACAAGAAAACTGATACTTACTCCAGAGGTGTGATCAGGAAGGTGGTAAGGTACTTCTAGTGACCAGTATGGATCATTTGGCTGTAGTTATGCTTCTTCAGTGACAGAAAAATTTCAAATATAAATATTTGATGGTATGGGTTATTTTCCTGATGTGTCATGCTGATAAGTCTTAATATATTTTAATCATGCCACTTTTGTGTATATGTGTTCTAAAGATGATGTTACACAGTGTTACGTATTTGCTCATTTTTTTACATTTAAGATACGGTTGGGTTTCTTATCGAATGACGCCATCAGCATTGAGACTATATGATTTTGGATGGTAGGATCATTAATGAAAATGGAGCATTTAGTGGAATGAGACTAGGCAGGGGAAAGTAAAGTATTCAGAGAATCCTACACCTGTGCTGCTTTCTCCACCACACAGTCCTCATGACCTCACAGGGGATTGAATCCAGGCCATCACAGTGGGGAGCTGGTTGGTAACTGCCTGTTCTGTATGTGCCACTGCTAGAATAGTTCTCTTTTGATCAGGTGGTGAAACTTGTAAGTGAGACATTCAACTATCCACGTATTGATCGGGAGAAAGCGCGCGTAAAACTTGTCATCATGGAGCATATCCCCAATCTCGGAAGGCATTTTAACAGAATTGGTCTGAGGCCAAAGGTAATGTATCAAGTTTCCTTATATCAGATGTGCATTTGAGTATCTACATTTTTTAAAACATTTTTCTCTCTGATAAATAATTAGCAAGTTATAGATAAAATATGCACAAATGTTTATGTAGATCTTCATGTAAAAAGTCTGTTGTTATTATTATTGAATTTTAACCAAGATGGGAATGCTAATCAGTGAACTTTAATGAAACTTCCCAGTATCCATGAGTTTGGAACTCTTCAGTGTGAATGCACTAGAATTGTTTTCTTTGATATTCAGGGAAATATTTTGAAACTTTTCAGATTATCTAAGTTCTTATCAGTTTTTGTAGCAGACACTATCCTTGACCTCTGATGTCTGCTGTGTCACTCATGTCATTTTGCGACTTGTCACAGTTGTCGTTACAGTCTTTGTACATTTGAGGCTATTGAACTGGCATGTCTTACAAAGTTGAGACAAAAGTACAGTCTGCAGTGTTTAGAAATTGAGCCAGTTAAAGAATTTATGTCTCATTCTAAGTGATATGACAAAGTTGTATAAATTTCCATGTCTGCTCCTTGTCATAACCACCACCACAGTTGTGCAGATTGATGGACAAATACAAGGTGGTTCAAATATGACCGGGACTAATTTTTTTTTTTTAACCAAAATTGCCAAACACTTACTTGCACAAGTCAGTCTTCAACGTACTCCCCTCTGGAGTCAACACATTTTTTCCAACGTTCTGGGAGCATCCTGATGCCCTTTTTAAAAAAGTTTTGTGGTTGGCGGCGTATCCACTCCCGAACATTCTGGATGACGGCGTCGTCCACAAACTGCATGCCTTGCAAGTCTGATTTGAGCCTTCCGAACAGGTAGAAATCACTTGGGGCCGAATCGGGACTGTACGGCGGATGTGTCAGAAGGTTCCATTTCAATTTCCGGAGGGTTTCCATTGTTTTGGCCGTATGGGGGCGTGCATTGTCTTGAAGGAAGGCTACCCGCTTTCCACCTCTCTTCCGCTTGGATCGGATC